GAATGACCTGACTGACTTACTGAATGACCTGACTGACTTACTGAATGACCTGACTGACTTACTGAAGAACTTGACTGACTTACTGAATGACTTGACTGACTTACTGAATGATTTGACTGACTTACTGAATGACTTGATAGACTGAATGACTTAAAGTTAGACACTCCAGTACAACCATCAACTTCAGTACCAGAACCTCTACCATCCACATCAGCCCAGTAGGGCCACAGCATAGCTCAGCACTTTCTTCACAATCATCCACAAACACCAGCACCCACAATTTAACCCTTTGACTGTTTCAGGGCCCCTTTCTGAAACTGTCATTCTATGTCGCTCAATTTTTGAATAAAAAAAATTATTTTTTCTTATGAAATGATAGAGAATCTTTTCCCGATGGTAATGACACCAAAACTTCGAAATTTGGTCGAAAACTCATGGAATTATGCTCCCGTGAAGTTAGCGGTCTCGGCGACATATGCGTATCGGCGATTTAGCCGACTTTGAACCCTACTTTCAGCCAATTTCATTGTTCCAGTTGACCAAACTCATAGCTATTTCTATAGAACTCCATTTTATCTATCAGCTGAGTACAAGAAACCTCCCATTTACTAATTTGGACTACCCAATATGGTGGTCAGAAATTGGCAATTTGGCCAATTTCACACAAACTAAAAAAGATGCCAATTTCAAAATAGAGTCCAAAATAAACAAGGTAGACATTTGTGGCACTAAAATAACATATGCTCTGTTCATTAGTCACATCTCTAGGCCCCTCTTATATTATTATTGCTTTCTATTTTGATTTTTTATTCATACAAAAAAATACAAAATTTACTGTTATGCAGACTACTGCATTATTGTAAAAATGGTATAAATAATATCAGTGCACTAGTGAAAGAATATTAGACTCAACTGTTGACGTGTATTGGACGTGTGGTGTGATTTATTTACTCCTGAACATTGGTAAAAATCGAACATTTCCGCAATTTTGAGCTCAGTTTCAAGGTCGTTTTCATCGTCAAAGTAATGAAAATCATCTCTATTTCTGTAATATGTTTCCATTTTATCACCTAAGACCATAAAAACGCGAATACAACGATAAATACTATACGAAAATACACCTCAAAGTCGGCGTTTTATTCCAAAAAAACGATCAGTTTTTTTTTTCTCATTACGCAATGTGTGCTGCAGGATTTTTTTTATGTGGTGCACACTGACCACACAGACCCATTCTCTCACATGTGGGCCTATCAGCTTTCTCCCGTTTGATTTGAAGCCGCTAGAATTATTGAGCATATATACGTCAGAAACATTGGCTCGTAAGACGTATTTATACGACGAAAACAGTCAAAGGGTTAAGGTAAGAAATACTATTATTTCTGTTACAACCGTAGTCTTAAGCAGTAAAAAACACAATACATTACAACAATAAACTACAATTACATATTCACTTTTATTTTTGTAAGATGTGGAGGCCTAAAAAAAGTTGTTTGGCTTTTTTGGCGCTCTCTGGAACGTAACCCTATTTTTCTCATAAGTTCTTCTGTTCATCTTACACGATTTTACCTAACACGGTAATTTCAGCAATGTAACTACCGTGTTAAATAATGGTCTGTGTATATGTAAATAAATAAATAAATAAATAAATAAATATATATATATATATATATATATATATATATTTTTTTTTTTCAACAAGTCGGTCGTCTCCCACCAAGGCAGGGTGACCCAAAAAAAAGAAAGAAAATCCCCAAAAAGAAAATACTTTCATCATCATTCAACACTCACCACACTCACACATTATCACTGCTTTTGCAGAGGTGCTCAGAATACAACAGCTTAGAAGCATATACGTATAAAGATACACAACATATCCCTCCAAACTGCCAATATCCCAAACCCCTCCTTTAAAGTGCAGGCATTGTACTTCCCATTTCCAGGACTCAAGTCCGACTATATGAAAATAACCGGTTTCCCTGAATCCCTTCACTAAATATTACCCTGCCCACACTCCAACAGATAGTCAGGTCCCAAGTATCATTCGTCTCCATTCACTCCTATCTAACACGCTCATGCAATCTTGCTGGAAGTCCAAGCCCCTCAGCCCACAAAACCTCCTTTACCCCCTCTTTCCAACCCTTTTGAGGACAACCCCTACCCCTCTTTCCTTCCCCTATAGATTTATATGCTTTCCATGTCATTCTACTTTGATCCATTCTCTCTAAATGACCAAACCACCTCAACAACCCTCTTCTGCCCTCTGACTAATGTTTTATTAACTCCACACCTTCTCCTAATTTCCACACTCCGAATTTTCTGCATAATATTTACACCACACATTGCCCTTAGACAGGACATCTCCACTGCCTCCAACCGTCTCCTCGCTGCTGCATTTACCACCCCAAACTTCACATCATATAAGAGTGTTGGTACTACTATACTTTCATACATTTCCCTTCTTTGCCTCCATAGATAACGTTTTTTGACTCCACATATACCTCAATGCACCACTCACCTTTTTTCCCTCATCAATTCTATGATTAACCTCATCCTTCATAAATCCATCCGCCGACACGTCAACACCCAAGTATCTGAAAACATTCACTTCTTCCATACTCCTTCCCCCAATTTGATATCAAATTTTTCTTTATTTAAATCATTTGATACCCTCATCACCTTACTCTTTTCTATGTTCACTTTCAACTTTCTACCTTTACACACACACTCAAACTCACCATACCATGGGCGGGGATAGAACCCGCGATCAGAGAGTCTCAAAACTCCAGACCATCGCGTTAGCCACTGGACCAGCTAGCCACTCTCAATCTCGTCCACTAACCTTTGCAATTTTACTTTAGAATCTCTTATAAGCACAGTATCATCATCAAAATGTAACTGTGTTAATTCCCATTTTGTATTTGATTCCCCATAAATAAATATATATATAAATATATTAAACAACCAAGGTGACATTACTCATCCTGTCATTAGAACTACTTTTACTGTGGAAATTAACTCCCCTCTCCTCTAAAATCCTAACTGTGCTTCAATATCTCATAAAAACTCTTTAACAGCATTTAGTACACTAACTACCACTATTCCTATATTACTGCAACATCTGCAACATTGCTCCCCTATCCACTCTATCATATGCCTTTTCAAAATCCATAAATGCAATAAAAACTTCTCTACCTTTATCTAAATACTGTTCACATATATGCTTCAAGGTAAACACTTGATCTACACATCCCGTACCCACTCTAAAACCTCCTTGCTCATCCGCAATTCTACATTCTGTCTTACCTCTAATTCTTTCAATAATAACCCTATCATACACTTTTCCTGGTATCTCAGTAAACTTATTCCTCTATAATTTTTACAATCTCTTTTGTCCCCCTTCCCTTTATATAAAGGGACTATACATGCTCTCCGCCAATCCCTAGGTACCTTCCCCCCTTTCATACATTAATTAAACAAAAATACCAACTACTCCAACACTACATACCCCCCTGCTTTTAACATTTCTGTCATGATCCCGTTAGTTCCAGCTGCTTTACCCCCTTTCATTCTACGTAATGCCTCACATACCTCCCCCACACTCACATCCTGCTCTTCTTCACTCCTAAAAGATGGTATACCTCCCTGGCCAGTGCATGAAATTACCGCCTCCCTTTCTTCGTCAACATTTAAAAGTTCCTCAAAATATTCTCACCATCTACACAATACCTCCATCTCCCCATCTACTAACTCCCCTACAATCTTTCATGGCATGTGTTAGTGTTTTGGTATGTGTGTAGGGGAGGGGGGGCATAATGCCATGACTAGCACTGTATATGATCTGTAATTGTTTGTGCACATAAGCTTTCATAAATTTTAATTTTTTGTAACAGATTTCTGTATAATTTATGGCAGTAAATAAAAAAAATAGACTACTATTTACATATATTTTATGCATTCATGACATACCTAACTTTCTTAATTTCTTCTTCTTTCAACGTACCAGCCAGTATCCCACCGAGGTGGGGTGGCCCAAAAGGAAAAACGAAAGTTTCTCCTTTCAAATTTAGTAATATATACAGGAGAAGGGGCTACTAGCCCCTTGCTCCCGGCATTCTAGTTGCCTCTTGCAACATGCGTGGCTTACGGAGGAAGAATTCTGTTCCACTTCCCCATAGATAAGAGGAAATAAACAAGAACAAGAACTATTAAGAAAATAGAAGAAAACCCAGTGGGGTGTGCATATATATGCTTGTACATGCAAGTGTAGTGTGACCTAAGGGTAAGTAGAAGTAGCAAGACGAACCTGAAATCTTGCATGTTTATGAGACTGAAAAAAGACACCAGCAATCCTATCATGTAAAACAATTACAATTACATTCACTTGGTAGGACCTACCTAGGAAAATAGAGTAGTATCTACATATAATTAATGCATTCATGACATACCTAACTTTTTCTTAATTTTTTCGGTCGCAAATCTCGAAAAAATTTTCAAATATTAATTACTGAAAAAGATCCATGTATAAATGAACCCACGCATTTCAAACACGTTTTGTTCAAGGGTTAAATGTACAACCTCTGTAAACAGCAATGGCTACTTTAAATGAAAATTCTAGCTCATGCAAATGAAAACAGTAGTAAACAATCTAAATACAGCCTCTCTTCACTTAATGACGGAGTTCTGTTCCTAAGACCACATGGGTAAATGAATTCATCGCTAAGTGAGGAGCAAACTATAATTGTAGTGGGTTTGTGTCAACCTTCTTTGATATTGTTTTATTGTCACCTCAGCACCATTTATAACATTTTTGGTATATTTTTAAATGTTTGTACAGTAGTGTACAAACATTTTTATTTTAATAAAAAGAATAGAGGAAATTAGTTCTAACATAAATTATTTAGATATGCATACTGGTCAGAGAGCCCGTCGTAAGTCTGAGTCATCAGTGAGCAGAGGCTCTAATTAGAATCATGAATCTAAAAAACTTAAGAAAACATTACCTTCAGGGTCAAGAAGTCTCTCAATATTCAAATGCTCATTAGCAAGTCTAAAAGCATTCTCCAGACGAGCATATGGGTGTTTTCTTGCCATCACTGTCCAGTCAAATAGCTGAGGACGGTGGCTATGAATAAGAGCATTGAAGGCAAGACCATCTGTCCATGAAGTTGTGAAATTTCGAACATCTACTCCATGGTACCCCTGTTACCAAAGTATATTTTAGAATCTCTTCTAAAAAGTATATAATCTATGTACACTGTACTAGCAATTTAGCAACAAATTTAATTAGCATACAAGTATTAAATGCATTGCCATATACAGTACTGTAACCACATTGATTAATATACAGTAGAAAAATAATAATATAGAGCAAATGTAAGACAATGCTACACCCAAGTCTCCCTAACTTTCTGATTTATGCAAACTGATGATTATGCAAAGTCCCATTTTCTATCAGTAATTCTGTGTGTTTTATGTAAACGGTGAAGTTCACAAAACATACTGAAGATTCTTATTATGCAAAATTAAATGTCAAAGGCCTGACTGAGCATAATACAACTGTGATGAGCCTGTAGCACATCTACTGCATAAAGTGAGGCACACCTATATTCAAATCTCATATCATATATGAAAAAAATATGTAATCAAAAGATAATTACCAGCAGGCAAAACTGTATTCTAGATGAGAGAGATCACAAGTGTCTACTTTAATTTAAAATTGCATTAAAAACAATATACTACAATGGTACCTTGACTTACCAGTGCCCCAACTTGTGTGTTTTCCGAGTAACAAGCCGTTGCTTGGTCGATTTTTTGCTTCGAGTTGCAAGCAAAAATCCATGATATGAACAAGCTTCAGATACATCGTCACTAGTTGGCGCAGTGAACGCCACAACATCCGCCCAGCATGTTTGCGTGTGCGTGCGTGTGTGTGTGTGTGTGTGTGTGTGTGTGCACTCGCCTATTTGTCGTTGCAGGGGTCGACTCATAGCTCCTGGCCCTGCCTCTTCACTGATTGCTACTGGGTCCTCTCTCTCCCTGCTCCATGAGCTTTATCAAACCTCGTCTTAAAACTATGTATGGTTCCCGGTTCCACTACGTCCCTTGCTAGGCTATTCCACTGCCTGACAACTCTATGACTGAAGAAATACTTCCTAACAATTGGAACAACTGGAAATTGAAGACTCAGATGAGTCAAAGGTTTTTTTTTTTTTAAATCCCTTTGACTCGTCTGAGTCTTCAACTTCCAATTGTGACCGCTTGTCTCTGTGTCCCATCTCTGGAACATCCTGTCTTTGTCCACCTTGTCTATTCCCCACACTATTTTATATGTCATTATCGTGTCTCCCCAACCCTTCTGTCCTCCAGTGTCGTCAGGCCAATTTCCCTTAACCTTTCTTTGTAGGACAATCCCTTTAGCTCTGGAACTAGTCTTGTTGCAAACCTTTGCACTTTCTCTAATTTCTTGAAGTGTTTGACTAGGTGTGGATTCCAAACAGGTGCTGCATACTCCAGTATGGGCCTGACATAAATGGTATACAGAGTCTTGAACGATTCCTTACTGAGGTATCGGAACGCTATCCTTAGGTTTGCCAGACGCCCATATGCTGCAGCAGTTATCTGACTGATGTGCGCCTCAAGAGATGTGCTCAGTGTTATACTCACGCCAAGATCTTTTTTCAATGAGTGAAGTTTGCAGTCTTTGGCCACCTAGACTATACTGTGTCTGCGGTCTTCTTTGCCCTTCCCCGAACTTCATGACTTTGCATTTGGCAGGGTTAAATTCAAGGAGCCAGTTGCTGGACCTGGCTTCTAACCTGTCCAGGTCTCTTTGTAGTCCTGCCTGATCCTCGACTGATTTAATTCTCCTCATTAACTCCACATCATCTGTAAACAAGGACACTTCTGAGTCTATCCCTTTCGTTATGTCATTCACATATACCAAAAACAGCACAGGTCCTAGGACTGACCCCTGTGGAACCCTGCTTGTCACAGGCGCCCACTCTGACACCTCATCACGTACCATGACTCGTTGTTGCCTCCCTGTCAGGAACTGTGTCGAAGGCCTTCTTGCACTCGAAGAAAATGCAGCCTATCCACCCTTCTCTCTCGTCTTACTTCTGTCACCTTGTCCTAAAATTCCAGTAGGTTTGTGACACAGGATTTTCCTTCCCTGAAGCCATGCTGGTTGTCGATTATACACTTGTTTCTTTCCAGATGCTCCAACACTCTCCTCCTGATGATCTTCTCCATGATTCTGCATAATATATACATTAGTGACACAGATCTGTAGTTTAATGCCTCGTGTTTGTCTCCCTTTTTTAAAAATTGGGACTACATTTGCCATCTTCCATACCTCAGGAAGTTGCCCAGTTTCAATGGATCTGTTGAAGATCTTTGTTAGTGGCACACACAGCATCTCTGCTCTCTCTCTAAGGACCCATGGAGAGATGATGTTTGGTTGCATTGCCTTTGGGGTATCAAGTTCACATAGCAGCTTCTTCACCTCCTCCTTGGTTATGTGTACCTCATCCAGCACTTGTTGGTGTACCTCCCTGTTCTGATTTCCTGGAGTCCTACCGGCTTCCACTGTAAATCCTTCTTTAAATCTAGAGTTGAGCTCCTCACATGCCTCTCGGTCGTTTCTTGCGAACTTCCCATCATCCTTCCTCAGTCTGATTACCTGGTCCTTGACTGTTGTTTTCCTCCTGATGTGGCTATACAACAGCTTCAGGTCAGACTTGACTTTCGATGCTATGTCATTTTCATATTGTCGCTGAGCCTCCCTTCTGATCTGTGCATATTTGTTTCTGGCTCTTCAGCTAATCTCTCTATTTTCCTGAGCTCTTTGTCTTCTGTACCTTTCCATTCTCTAGTACACCTAGTTTTTGCCTCCCTACACCTTTAGGTGAACCAAGGACTCGTTTGGTCTTCCCATAATTTTTTTTCCCTTTTGGGGAAACAAACCTCCATATTTTTGTAGGGTTTTCCCTGTCAGTTCTCTTCCCACTAAATGTTGGAGGAAGTTACTCATGTAAGTAGTCCCCCTTTGTAGTTTGGTTTTTTCCATCCTTTTCCCTGTGCTCTCCCCCACTTGTGCTAAAACTATGTAGTCCAAGACGAACCCACAATCACTAGCCCTGGGGGCCTTTTCATACATGATATCCTCGGTTCGAACTACTCAAGGTAAATACAAGGTCGTCTTGCTGAATCATCCTACCTCTCCTTGGAGTGTCTCTAACATGTTGAGCATAGGTTTTCAAGACCACACCTCTCTTGGCTCTCCATGTTTCGGGACCCCCAGGGCTCCGGGTTTTTCCCAGTCAATCCCCTTTGTGACTGAAATCACCCATAATGTAACTTTGCCCCCCCCATGTGAGCCCTTTGGCCACCTCAGTAGTGTGTCGATATTGCTCTGTTGCTTCGTGTATTTTTCATTGGCCTCCGCAGTTTTTTGGGGTTTTACTTTACTGCTTATAAATTATGGCCCCCAGATGGGGGCTGTTCCCACTAAGTTCCCTTTTGCCCTGCCATCCCATTCCCTTTCCCTTTTCTCAAAACCCCCCTGGTTTTTAATGAGCAGTGCAACTCCTCCCCCCCCTCTCCCCCCCTCTGACTTTCCTGAGGATTTGATATCCGGGTGGAAAAAAATTGCATCTGTTGTCATCCTGGGAGGGTTTTTTTTGTGATGCTATTATGTTGGGGGTGCTCCTTGATTCTTTCTGCCATCCACACACTAATTTGTTATTCCCCCTTTCATTTAATACCCACTTTTTGAAAAGAAACGGAGTCCCGGCTTTAAGTGAAAAAAAAGCTGAAGGGGGGGGGAGAGTTTTAAAAGGAGAGGAATTAAAAGGGTTTTGGTCAGGGTTTTAAAAAAGAGTTGAGTAAAGAAGGAGTAGCAATAATGGGTTTAAGGACAAGTATGGCGGAAAAGAGGGGGCTACAAATGTATAAATTCAAGGATTATGTGGGGGTAAAATAAAGATTTTATGTGAAAAAGTGGGTTGTAGTAAGGTGTTGCACCTGGAGAAGAGAGAAATGTAGAGGAGAGAGAGAGATTCTGGGAAATGTTGGTGAATGCGTGGGGAGTTTTGAATCAAGTGTGAGAGTAATGGTGGTTGGGGGATTTCAATGCTAAAGTGGGTAAAAATGTTATGGACGGAAGTAGTAGGTAAATTTGGGGTGCCAGGGGTAAATGTAAATGGGGAGCCTTTAATTGAGCTATGTGTAGAAAGAGATTTGGTAATAAGTAATACATATTTTATAAAAAAAGAGGATAAATAAATATACAAGGTATGATGTAGCACGTAATGAAGTAGTTTGTTAGATTATGAAATTGGTGGATAAAAGGTTGATGGGCAGACTCCAGGATGTACATGTTTAAAGAGGGGCAACTGATTTTATCGGATCATTATTTAGTTGTAGCTACAGTTAGAGTAAGAGGTAGATGGGAAAAGAGGAAGGTGGCAACAACAAGTAAGAGGGAGGTGAAAGTGTATAAACTAAGGGAGGAGGAAGTTCGGGCGAGATATAAGCGACTATTGGCAGAAAGGTGGGCTAGTGCAAAGATGAGTAGTGGGGGGTTGAAGAGGGTTGGAATAGTTTTAAAAATGCAGTATTAGAATGTGGGGCAGAAGATTGTGGTTATAGGAGGGTGGGGGCAGGAGGAAAGAGGAGTGATTGGTGAAATGATGAAGAAAAGGGTGTAATAAAAGAGAAAAAGGTAGCTTATGAGAGGTTTTTACAAAGCAGAAGTGTTTTTAAGAAGAGCAGAGTATATGGGAGTAAAAGAAAGGTGAAGAGAGTGGTGAGAGAGTGCAAAAGGAGAGCAGATGAAAGAGGGGGAGAGGCACTGTCAAGAAATTTTAATGAAAATAAGAAAAAATTTTGGAGCGAGTTAAAAAAAGTTAAGAAAGCCCAGGGAAAGTATGGATTTGTCGGTTAAAAACAGAGTAGGGGAGTTAGTAGATGGGGAGATGGAGGTATTAGGTAGATGGCGAGAATATTTTGAGGAACTTCTAAATGTTGAGGAAGAAAGGGAGGCGGTAATTTCATGCACTGGCCAGGGAGGTATACCATCTTTTAGGAGTGAAAAAGAACAGAATGTAAGTGTGGGGGAGGTACGTGAGGCATTACGGAGAATGAAAGGGGGGTTTAAAGCAGCTGGAACTGATGGGATCATGACAGAAATATTAAAA